CAGACTAGTGAACACTCCCACTTTGCCCGGTCAATCAGTTTGGAAGCTATAAGTGTCTTGTTAAGAATTCTTACACAACTGGGCAGTCTGTGTGTCCTGCATCCTGCAAGTTATTCAGGCAAATTGGAACAGCTGTTTTGGTCTCTGCACAATGCTTCCCAAATGTCCCAAGGGATGTATTTGCAGGGGATATGGTTCCTAGGAACTGTGCTCTCCACATGCATAGCTGCTGATTCTCACTAACAGCTCCTGGGTCTGCAGTGGCTACACAGTGACATGAAATAAGACATGGCTGCCCAGGCTATACACAGTATTCTCTGTATGAATGATTTGCCATGAACATATCATCCAGACTGGCTAGATTTGCTCGCTGACCTCCTTTCACCTCCTGTTACTGAGAATTGTCCTATTCTTTTCAACCTCTGCTCAATTTCAAAGTTGAGATGTTCTCTTTCCTGCATTCCAGTTACTCTAATCAAAACCACTCTGATCTTCAAAACTTACTAAGGGCAGCTTCTGCAAACAGAAGAATCATAGACTTGTGGGGTGTAAAGGGACCATTAGGGTCATTTAGTCCAACCCCCTGCAATACAGGACTCTTTCTATCCAACATGGGGTGCAAACCACAACCTTGAGGTTAAGACTGAGCTATCTAGCCAAGCCTTGAGCATGACAAAATGACTCTTGTCAGACATTTCCAAGCATCACTATCTGAACATTTCCAGTATTTGAGCAACTTTCACTATGAAGAATATTCCCAGGTAATTTTAGAAACACAAAGTTCTGATCTTTAATTTCAGCAAATATTTTTGCACAGTTTTTAAGTCTTACACACACAGAAAAGGAAGAATTGCATTTTGAATCCAATGTTTTCTGTCCCTCCTTTCTCTGTCCGAAAGGCCCCAAGTTCAGCACTGCTGTCATTTTTTCTCCCTTTACCCTGCTCAAACACTGCAGCCACTTCTCAGCATTAGTAGAGGATTTCTGTTGGCTCGTTACATTATTTATGCAGAGCCAGATTGTGCAGCAATTATGCCTATACTATAATCACTGTGTCATTTGCACTTGTTAGGTACAAGGAAAAAAGTTTTTTTCAAGGCTTAAATACCCTGAAAAGTACGCAGTAAGTGGAAATGACTGCGCTCCCTCCTATTAGTCTCAGGGTTATTTATACCTCTGCAGATTAGCACAGTACAGTGCAATTAGGCTTTAGAGGTACCATGCAAATTGAAAAGTTTCAAGAGCTCTTAGGAACAATTAACCCCTAATGCATTAACACGTTCCGTCAGGGAAGCCGTTTTCTCTCTGGTTATGTTCCAGAAACAGTTTCTGAAAGTGACTTTCCCTTAACATGGTAAGAGAAGGATGTGAAGAAATGTTGTAGGAGATGGGATACAGATCTATTGTTCAATCTCAAGAGTCACCCATTTATTCTCCATTCATCTTTTCTCGGACACCCAGACAAGCCTTAACAGGAGAACACATTCCTTTGCCAGCTAACTGACATTTTAAATCTGGCCTTATTTCCTTTTTCATAGCCTTAGAAAAGAAACCTGAACATACATAGTAGAAGTAGCTACAGCAACAGCAGCAGCCACTACAGTACTTCTTAGAACAGACATAGACAAACTATCATCTGTGGGCTGCACATGGACCATAGAATCATTTCATCCAACCTTCACTCTCATCACTTGCACTACCCAATTCATCCTTGGAGCTGTGTGGTCCTCAGGGTGTAAAATTTACCGACTCCTATCTTAAAATGGCATACCATAGTTTGCATGTGTGCTTGTGAAACTCTTTGATTGAAAGCAGCAGTGGCTGGTTTGGTTTGCAGAACGGTGGAGATGCCCTCCCAACACCGAAGTCTTGGCACCTTACCTGGAGGGGACTGGAGAAGAACACATCCGTGGTGAGGTCCAGGCTGTGTGGGCAGACCAGTGGAAACACCAAATTGGCTTCACCTGAGTGTACGCACAACCTCAGCACCACCCTCCTCTGCACCACACTACAGCTCTGTCTCACCACATGACTGATCGAAAGAGGCAAACTAAAGGAAGCTCTATCATCAGGAGAACCCCTAGATCCCAAGGCAGCTTCTCTGCAATGTAAAGTCCCCTGCCCATGATGTTCATACACAAATGCAAACACAGGCTTCCTCACATTTCTTTGGGGAAGGGAACAGCTTTTCTTTCTCCTTCTGTCATCGCAAACATTCACGTTTCATGCAGCAAACATCTGCCCAGGAGATACTATGTGATATATAATCTGCTTACCTCCAGAGCGAGCTTTCGGTAACACTTCCCAAGTTGAAGTCATACAGCTTTGTAAGAATGAGAATCACCTGAGAGGAGAAGAAGGGGGGGGAGAGAAAAAACCTACTTTTACTCTTCTGAATATATTTATAGATACAAAACACATCTGAAACCACCCAAAAGGAGAGCTTAGCATCTATCCAGTAAAGATGGGGTATTATAGGATCAAGCAAGGAGCGGAGAGAAGGCCAATGAGGAGAAATTGTTAGCTTAATGCATCCTCATAGCTAGAAACATTTTGTTTCAATTTCAAAATATCTTGAGATATAAAATAAAACACCAAAGTTAGCCTTGTTAGCTTTTCTCTTCCCTACATTTTCCTCTGGGCTTATTTGACTTACAGTACAGTGCAAGCTTCTGTCTGTTTACTAAGAAGTAAGTCCTGCTGAGTTCTGTTGGACTTACTCCCATGAAAATGTGCATTGGATGACAGCCTAAACTGCAGACCCATAACCCATTCATGTCCTCGTATGACTCAAATATATCCAAATTACTTGGGGAATAAAGAAGATTTCCAGCCCTGTATCAGGAGGTTTTTAATGTTTGATATTTTAGTATGTTCTGATACATGCTGTGAGCCAGCCAGAGTGGCTGGGGAAACCCAGCCAGATGGGTGGGGTATAAATAGTAGTAGTAGTAGTATCCAGAACCCCCACCAGAAACGACGATATCTTCTTGACATCTAGTTTTATTGGGTTTTTATAATACTGTTTAACTGGCTTTTATGTCAGATCTGTTGTTATTATTATACCCTCTTATTGCCTTTGTGCTGTATTTTTGTATGTCACTTAGATATTTTTTAAAATATTAAGTACATCAGAAAAGCTTTTAAATAAATTAACAATCAAAATCTGAGAAATTATCCAATTACAGTGGTACCTCGGGTTACAGATGCTTCAGGTTACAGACGCTTTAGGTTACAGACTCCGCTAACCCAGAAATAGTACCTTGGGTTAAGAACTTTGCTTCAGGATGAGAACAGAAATCGTGCGGCGGCACAGCAGCAGGAGGCCCCATTAGCTAAAGTGGTACCTCAGCTTGAGACCAGTTTCAGGTTAAGAAGAGAACTCCAGAACTAATTAAGTTCTTAACCCGAGGTACCACTGTAGTTGGTACACCCAGTTTTGCAAACACTAGTTGTTAGCATATTTCCTTCCTCTTGCATAGTTTGGATTCTCAAGCTGCAAGGATGAGCCGAACCATCACATACCTAACTCAGCACTCTAGCCTAGGGGTGGAGGTGGCTTATTATCTCTCCCTGCCCCCATCTCTTTCTTTCTCTGGCTGTCCTGATGTTGTTGGACTATAACACCTGGCCACTGGCTATGCTGACTGCGGTTGATGGGAGTTGAAGTCCAACCACCCCTGAAGGGCCACAAGTTCCCAAGCACTGCAGTAGACACATCAGCATAACAACCTACATCCAAGATTTTTCCATCTTGGCACTCAATGTGAGTTATTAGATCTGAACTCCATTTCCCACACAACTTGGGACATCTAAAAAATTTTTTCTGGAATGGCCTTTGCTGTTACATCTTCCATCATCCAAAAGCTTACAAGTGTCAGGCCTCACGCGACTTAGCTTGTTATGTGTTCAGGTTCAATTTATACTGCTGTATAGCAAACCTAGAGTAATGACCCTGCCTGTAGCAGAAGTAGTGTAGATTTTCAGGTACTCCGTAGTTATCAAATAATAATTCTGCCCTCCCACCTCTGAGTGATAGAAAACCGTGATGAAAGAGAGAGAGATGATAAACCATCCCTTTGGACCTCAACCTCGTGTAGGGTTCTGGCAAGCAGCAAGATCTGCCTGAGGCATTTGTGATATATACATACAATGCAGACAAAATGTATAACGTGCCACCCATATAAATTACATACACACAGGCCGAGCAGACAAGCCCAAACTGCAGCCTTGAACAGAGGACGTTCTCACATAACAAGCCACTTCCTATTCAATGGTGGGGGAATTTGGAGAGAGGTGCATTTGAAAACCTCAGAGGTATAGAATTAAAGAGAGGTTTTTGAACAAAGGGGAGAAAGTTTCTCTCTCCTTGACCCTGTTTTGGGATGTTACCCAGCAAGGAACTATAAGCAACAGAAGCTGCCTCTTTGCTCCAATCTCACTTTTGGGGCCAGGCTGGAGAGATGAAATCCAAAGAAATTTACACATGTTTTAATCATAGCTGTCAACGTTTCCCTTTTTTTAAGGGAAATTCCCTTATTCCGAATAGGATTCCTCGCAAGAAAAGGGAAAAGTTGACAGCTATGGTTTTAATATCATTGAAATCACTGAGATCAATACAGCCTTTCAAATAAGTTCAGAAACACAACTAGTTTCAATCCCCCCCACCTTCCCATAAACATACCAATGTTAGTTATTTGTGGCATAAAATAAAGAAAAAAAACAGTATCCTAGACACCTCAAAGGAATTCCAGAGAGGTGGCTGTTTACAAGTCTAAATCAGAGTGCATACAGCTGAGTCCTAAAGCACCACTAATTTAAATAAGGCTTAAACACAGTCCTCCCCATGTCTAGTTACTCCAAGACAGCACCAGATTCAGGGTGGTGCAGGCGGTTCTCCTGCACAGGGCACTAAGCTGAGGGGGTGCAAAACTGAAAAGATCCATGTATGAGAGAAGAAAGTGAAGATGGACGCAAAATTAATCAATCGCAATATGAATTTCCTTTCATAGCTCAGCTGGTAGAGCATGAACCTCTTAATCTCGGGGCCGTGGGTTCAAGCCTCACATTGGGCCAAAGATTCCTGCACTGCAAGGGGTTAGACTAGATGACCCTCAGGGTCCCTTCCAACTCTACAATTCTATCATTCTATTAAATAGCTTCTATGAATGGTTGCAATTGTGGGGGGGAACCAATGGCTAAAATATTTTGATAGTTAAATTGATCTTTTAATTTACTCATTGACGATACCTGATGGGTGCTTATTTTTATGTTTTACTACAAATATTGTGTATTTGTGTTTTAAATTCTATTTGCAGTGGGCGGGGTTATTGGGTTGTTCTTGTTTTTATTTTGATTATGTATTTTGTGTTTTTATATTGTGATTTTATCCTGTGAACCTCCCTGTGACCTGTGAGGGCATCAAATATTGGCCTTGCACAGGGTGCAAAAATTCAATAGTCTGCCCCTGTCCATGATAATTCAGTCTTGGACACATCTCTCTTTCTCTGGATTGTTTCCAATAAGTTAAAGGATATTATTTATTTCCTTTCATCTTGATCTTACCTTTTCCACATGGTGGCATACATGGTTCTCTCACTGCACATTTTTTCCGCCTAATAGCCTTGTGAGGTAGAAAGTCTGAGAGATATTGACTAGACAAAGATCTCTTCATGGCTAATAGATGTGCCCTCCAATGTTTTTGCCAAAACACTGCATTGGTTCCATGTAGAGAGCCTTTGTCTTTCACTTTCCCCCCTGTATGTGCAAAGGATCATAGCTATGTCTGAATTAGCCCAAGCCTAGCAGCCTCCAGTGAAGCATGACCTGACTGGCCTGTGAGAAATGCTTTTCCCTCTGATAATGGTATCTCCTACCTACCCTTGTTGTTAAATGAAATCTCTTGCTATTTTTGAAGGTAATTAAGACAAATTTCATTTCCTAGTGAATGATGATGAATTACAGCACAGTTAGTTTCTGTCACTCTGAATTTCTCTTGATATCTTGGATACAGCACCATTTATGGAAAAAGCATTCTCAAAGGAAGAAATAATCTATTTGTACATGCATCCCACACAATACTATAGAAAGACAGAGTTACAGTGGGAAATGTTTTCCCTTGGTGCAGTTGAGCTAAATTCCCCAAATTTAATCATATGTTCCAGAAGGGTTTATTCTTTGAATGTAGAAAAAGTAAAGGTAAAGGACCCCTGACAGTTAAGTCCAGTCGCGAACGACTTGGGGTTGCGGCACTCATCTCGCTTTACAGGCCGAGGGAGCCGACGTTTGTCCACAGACAGTTTTTCCAGGTCATGTGGCCAGCATGACTAAGCCACTTCTGGCGAAACCAGAGCAGAGCACAGAAGTGCCGTTTATCTTCCCACCGGAGCAGTACCTATTTATCTACTTGCACTTGGAGGAGCTTTTGAACTGCTAGGTTGGCAGGAGCTGGGACCAAGCAACAGGAGCTCACCCCGTCGTGGGGATTCGAACCGCTGACCTTCCGATCGGCAAGCCCAAGGCTCTGTGGATTAGACCACAGCACCACCCATGTCCCCCTGTAGAAAAAGCAGATTGATGGTATCTGTAGAGATGTGTCCCAAGTAAGTAGCGTAACACAGCACCATACTTTAAAGCATTATATTACTTTAAACAGTCATGGTTTCCCCCAAAGAATTATGGGACTGTAGTTTGTGGAGGGTGTTGAGAGGTGCTTGGAGGCCCCTATTCTCCTCACGCCAAAGTTCCCTGTGAAGAGGAATTCATTGTCAAACCACTCTAAGAACTATAGCAACCTCAACAAACTACAGCTCCCAGAATCCTTTGGGGGAAAGCTGTGACTGTTTAAAGTGGTTTAAATGTATGGTATGGATGTGGCCTGTATATACAGCAATACATATTCTCCGTCTCAAAGTTCAGCACTGTTAATGAGCTAATGCTGGCCACCTTTCTGAACTGTCTGCTAGTGTTAACCTTTCTTCTCACCCCATGTGCTCTGTGCTGTTTTGTAATTGGTGGGGTGGCTTTTTGGAATATGTCTAGCTAACTCAGCAATCTATAAATTTCCATGAGCGGGACACTAAGTTGCCTTCCAGGAACAGCCAATGCACCATCAAAAGCTGCCTCACATTCATTTCCTGTTCAAATAGTACTTCCCACCTGATAAATTCCCCATCCAAGGCACCACCCCTTGGATACTGCCAAGGCAGCTGCCTCAGTCTGCCTCATGGATGGATCAGCCCTGTGTTCACTCTCTTTAAATTGGCCTTCAGTTGAATAAGCCAAAGCACTAGTGGCACTCATACAGAAAAAGAAAAAGAATAGGCAATCAAAAATATCTCCACTGCATCTATGAATTCTCACCTCCTCTTTAAAAAAAAAAAAAATCGACCCACTGCAGTTGCTTGATAGTGCCCCATTGTGCAACCCATGGCTACTTGCCATTCATGCTCAAGTTGTGAATTATACCGCAAACACTTCCTTCCTTCCCTCCCTCCCTCCCTCCCCTCACATATGGCACACCTCTTCGTGTAACAAGTTGAATACAGAGGGATATGGGTCTGGTTGACATGACAAGCTAAGCCACGATTTGTGTCATCAGCACCCAAGCTCATGGTTAAGGTCTCTCCTTGCTCACCACTAGCTGTAGCCAAGAACAAACCTCGTTTGTAGTTTACAAGGAGAGACCTTAACCATAAGCCCATGCTCAGACAACACACTAAGCATGAGACAAGAGTAAAAAGGACTGAGGAGGAGCTCTCTGGGAGTGCACAAGTTGATGTAGTCTTGGTAAACCATAGGGGACACACAGGGAGAGGAGAGGGCAGAGGAGTTCCATAGTGCACCTAAAAGTATTTGCCCTAGCAGAACCAGATACCCCACTACATTCTCTTCAATGTTGAAATAGATCTAGCTGCAAAACGTTCATGGCCTTCCACTTGTAAGCAGCAAATCAGGCTACCAGTTACAAAATGAAGGCGTTCACTCTATGAGATCCAGTTGCTTCCTAAGATTATGCAAATGTCTTCAATCTATCCTGGCAGTTTATCACATTCAACTGTCATCACAAGGCCTCCAACGCCTTGCTTTCCATTAAAAGGTTTTAACGTATTAGCTATTATCTGTACTCTGAAGTCAGTGTCTCTGCAATGTAAAGATCGGCTCTCTCTTTTCCCCTCACATTTAAAGAGCTGGCAATTTGGGGCTCTTTAAGTTGTATATCACACTGATCTGTGGTATCGCTGAGGTAATCCAGACCCAAACTTTACCCATACTCATCTGTGATCGATTCCAAGGGGAATTACGAGTTAGAAATGGCAGAGGGTTTTCTTCCCCTTCCCCCTCCTCTTTCTCCCTGCCATGTTTTCTGCCCTGTCTTTGGACCTATGATGCACGTTGTAGCTTTAAGAAAAATGAAACCACAACCTTAAAAGAGAGAGAGATAAATTTTTCCAAGGTTTTGAGGGTGGTATCTTAGCAAAAAGAAAGACTGGAAGATATGATCCACTGTGGGTTGCTGAATCAATAAAAATAAATGATGGTGGCTTTTTTTGCTGCAGCGTCCTATAATGCATGATAGAGGACTCTTAAATCATATCACCGCCAGCTAGTGGAGATCGTATTTATTCTAAACCGACTTATATAGAGATAAAGCTCAGGCTTCTGTTATTTTAAGCAAGCAAGATGTCTTCTCTAGTGGGAATGCCTGTTTACCTGAAGCAGGGCCATCTAGCAGTCCTAGCAAAGATACTATGGGGAACAATTGGAGCCTAGCAGAGGAAATGATTAGATAACGTAGCAGGTCTTTTTCAGATTCTAAATTCTGGGCTTTGGGATACTTGCAAGCTGTTTTCCTCCTTGCCGTGTTTGTTCATAATACCTTGGGATTTTACCCAGATTTCCCCTGTGTTTTGCTGTGAGCTTTAAGAAGACTGAGTAATATTCCCTGCATCTCCCGAAAGATTATCTCACCCTGACTTATGTCTGATAATTATAAATAATACCAAGCTTTTGTGTAGAGCCTCTTCCATGAGTTGATGAAAGGGACTTTGTAATCTAAATTCTCAGCTGGCATGCCCAATAACTTAGTAATTGTGACTGCATTCAAAACTACACTGTGAGAATGCCAAAGAATTCTGTTTATCGGTGCTAGTAGAGTAGTATTTTGAGTGATTTACTAAGAAGCTAATACTGCCTGTCAAGAATGTTTGGGGCCATTTCAGGTTGCTAACCTGAATCAACAATTCTTCTTTAGTGGTTTTTAGCTACACACATCTTAGAGCCTCGTGATTTCTTTTAAAAATGCCTATAGGTATCTTTTATTTCAGTAGCTAAAAGATTGCCTACAAAAGTTTATGTCACAATAAGGCCCCATCTGCTTTCTACATTTAAAGCTGTGTCATAATATATTAAACAGTCATGGCTTCTCCCAAAGAATCCTGGGAAATGTAGTTTATTAAGAGTACTGTGTGTTGTTAAATAGGTGCGTTTCCCTCACAGAGCTACAACTCCCAAAGTTCATTGGAAACAGCAATTGATTGTTAAACCCCTCTGAGGACTATAGCTCAGTGGGGGGAATATGATGTTTATATAACTTTTTGTATGTTTACCATATTTATAACATAAAAAAATACATGCTTTCAGCAAGAAGACAAGAGTACATTTTGTCCCTGATGGAAAAGGGCTGGAAGAATCTGTTTTGTTTTCCACATTCATTTCCCTTTGGTATTTTTTATTAGGTTTTTTTCCCATACATTGCCTGCTAGGAAGTTGGATTAATTCTTTCCGCAGTCCCTTTACTAATTATACTTTGTAAATATGTGGCCAGCCCTGTAGATGAGCTATGTTAATCTCTGTGCTGATACAGCAGGATTTTTGAGAAGAGAGATGGTTCCAATGCATGGGATCAGCAGTGACTGCATCTCAGTAGTCTATCCAAAGTGATCAAACATCTCTTCCCCTAATAACCATATATCCTTGATACATGAGACTAACTGTCTTTGACTTGACACTTCTTAGTTGTCTCTGAAGTTCTTTATCATGCCTCAGAAGGAGTTGAATGCATTTACACTCTAATTTGTTAGAAACAAAGAGCCATCTATCTCGGTGCATGGATATATGCAAAGCATTTCTCCAATTTAAAGTTGGCAGGAACACAAGGAGAGTTTAATGAACTAAAGTAATTTTCCTTCCGTGTAAAATTTTATGACCATGAAAGGTCTGCACAGCTACTGAATGTGCTCAGAGGCTTCCAAGCTGTCTGATAATTTATAGATTTGTGGATCTCCAGTAATTCTTCTCTACAGCAGGAAACCCCTGGGGTTTCATGTTTGCCTTGAAGGGAAGTGACCACAGTGATCCCAAGGTTTTCACTGAAACTCAGTCTTTCTGTGTTAAAGTAAAGACTTCCAGGCACCTAGCAGTGGTGGAGCTTGGACTTAAAATTTCAGCGGCACCCTGTGCAATGCCAAAATTGAGCACCACCACCCCACCTGTCACCTTCCATTGTTTGTCATTGTTGAAGCGCCCCCTACAGCACCCTCTCAGTTCAGCACCCAGTGTGGACAAACCAGTTGCACTCCCCTAAATCTGCCTCTGCACCTAGTTCTCAAGGTCCATTAGTTCCCTTTGGTGCTTACAAATGGAAAAGAAAATGCTTGGGGTAGTAGACTACTCATAAGAAGGGCAATCTAAATTTCTACTTGCTTCTACATTTTATAAGCTGCCTTTTATCCTGGACAGATTATCTGAAGGACTGCAAAGATGTGTTGCCCTTAGTTGGGGGTGGGGTGGGGGTGGGGACTTTGTTCATTGGTGTTTTCTGCAACACTGCAAATTGCAATTGAGAGAAAAAGATCCATTGCACAATGTAAGGGGCTAGATCATGCCAGTGCTCCAAGAGCATAACACTTCCAGAAGTAATTGGAGACAGGCATTCCCTCACAGGGGCAGGGAATAGAATCACTAAATCCCGCTGTAATTACTACAAGAGTTTTCAGCTTGAATTTGAATAGGAGGCTAGAAATAACACGTGGTCTGCTTTCTGTGCAGTAAACAGAACATTTTATGTCGATTTCAGAGGGGGCTGGTCTGGGTGCCATGGAAGGCCACCTGATTACTGTTATTTAGTCATTATTAGGGGGTTCACATAAAGAAAAAACCCAGATATTGCATTGTTTGCACAGCAGCATCTGACCCAAGAATTGTGCCCCCGAACCATCTGCAATATTCCAAGGGATACAGAGATGCTCTTCTCAAACTAAGCAATGAAGGTGCTTGGAGAAAATCTTAGCAATGTGTTTTCTAACTATCCAACCTAGTGATATATGGCTTAGGCCCAGGTTGTCTGAAGGACTGTATTCTCCCACATGAACCTGCCCCGAGATCTTTGTGGGAAGCCCTTTGGCCAGGGCATAGCCTGACTCCCTCCTTTGGCAATCTTCACAGAACTCTAGCCCAATGGTTGCCATCAATTTGATTTGAATTAATTTTATAATAAAATGATTTTAGAATGTTGTATTATTTTATTGTTGTTAGCCGCCCTGAGCCTGGCTTCGGCTGGGGAGGGCGGAATATAAATAAAATTTATTATTATTATTATTATTATTATTATTAATAAATATAATAAAAGGAATAACAATGTAACTAGAGTGGGGGCTATCTGCCTCTTTGGGGATTGCCAAAGAGTTTGATTCTATTATATGTTAAAACTTGTTACACTGAATGTGAAGGGGGGACATTAAGTTAGGATGAATGCCTCAACTGCCTTGCTCTTCTTGGTCTTTTTATTCTTTTGATCCTTGGCTTGGTGGCTCTGTGATTAAAAATGGAATCATCTGCCATTCACACACACCCTGTGCAAAAAGCATTGCTGCTAGTAATTTTGCAATCAAAACCTGCCAATCAAAACCTAAACTGCAGAGAGGTTTTTTGCAGTGGCACGCAACATTAAGTTCTACTCAAGGCAAGCCAGTTGTCTGACCCACCATCATAGGGCAGGAATTGGCAATGAGTGAGAAGTGGGGAGACGAGAGTCCACCAGACTTTGTAAAATGGTCACAAGAATAGCATGATCAATACAATAAATGCTTGTATTGCCAAGGATGCTTTAGAAAAGAAATGTTTGTCCATAATTTTGCTGGAGGGAAGGCAGGAGAAGAAAAAGAGAAGAAAAAGCCTCCAAACAAGTCAGTTGAGGAAGCAAATGTTGGCAAAACAATGCTATGCACCTGGAATGGGTACACATTCAGCCTTTCCCATACCAAGCTTCAAACAAGAGCCTAATGCCAGTAACAATAAGCCTCTGGACTTCTGGCAAACTGTGACTGCAAGCCATATAACCGAAATCTGGCCTTAAACAGCAATTTGGCTCTTGGAAATCCCACAGGGACAGGAGGATTAAACAAACACACACACACACACACAGAGAGAGAGAGAGAGAGAGAGAGAGAGAGAGCCCTCTAATATGTTTCAAGGCTAAATAAATGCTATAGGACCTCTGCAATTAAATGGGAAATCACATGCACAGAGTCCTATGATCGCCGTGCATATTGAGACAAGCAGTATCGAATACACTCCATGTTCAAACTACACAGTGTGGAAGACAAAAACGTAAAAGCTTGCTGGATCAGACCAATGGCCCATCTGGTCCAGCATCCTGTGGCCAACCAGATGCCCATGGGAACCCAGAAAGCAGGATTTGAGCA